TTTTAAGAACTTTTATCTGAAAGGTACTTTGGAGATCCAAAAATGGTTCTTAGCATTGCAACAAAAACCCTTTAATGGTATATTTTTGGGAATCAAATAATAGTACATGACAAGGGAAGCGGGTATAACAACTCATCTGAGCTGCAGAGGAAAGATTTAGACAAATCATTTTTGTTTAGAGATCATTCATTTGGGGTTAGAAGAACCAGGAATAAGGATGATAAGGTTCATGTGGTTTAATGTTTGTTTCAAAGGCTTGTCATTATAAAACAACACACTCCAAGATCAATTGAGACGTACTTGTGTCTCATTTCAAACATCTATCCACATTTTCCAAGAGACTTGATGGGTTTTCTGTTTGCTGTAGCCTAGTAACAGACTGTGCTTGCATGTTGAGTACCGCCCAAACAGAGATAAATGTAATCAATTATATATTTTTGTCATGTTATTGCACAAAAAAATTGTCAATAGGCAGCAAAACTAAAGCCCAGGTAGATAAAAGAAAATGACAAACAATGGCCTGATGCACTGGGCACATTTTTATCCAAAGTGACTCCCATTGCATTTGAAGTGTTCATTTTATCCATTCATATATTCACATATATTGAATAACTGTACCTTAAAAAAAAAAAGCTAGTTTCACCACAATTAACTTTAGATGCATGTGACATACAGTACAGTACATTCTTCATATAAATGTTGACATGAAAGTCTTGACATTGAAAAAATGCAACTACTAGTCTTTGCATGGTTAATGTTACAAGGTGAAGAAAGCACACACACACACACACACACACAAACACACCCCTGCTGTCTCACACTAATGTGCTGCAGACTGACTACCATCACACTAACTATACCCTCTCTAAACAGACACAGCCCCTAATTCAGCTAAATAACCACCTGCTGACAGCGTGCCTCACTTAAGCCATCTCTGCATTAGCACATAATTGTATTGAAACGGTTGGGGTGGGAACTACACTCACTCCATTCTCTGCTATTAAAAGACTATAAACAAGGGATAAAAGAGTATTTGATAAACTATACCATATGCCATATAAACCCTGGCATTCTGAATCACACCTATAAACATTAAAGAAAGAGAATGTTTGTGATGCCATATGTCTGATAAATGTAGCAATATCACAAGAATGTTTTTCACACTAACTGGACAATTTAGTGTGATATTACTCTTATACAACAGTTCAATGCACAAGAACTTACATTTCACAATATTTTCAGTTATGAAGCCACAGCAGCATGATTTGTAGTGGCGGTCCGTTCCTAAATGAATAAGTGTTTAGAACAA